GTTAGGTCTTGTGTCCTTATGTGCCCTTGAACCCAATCCTTGATTTCTGATCCTCAAACATGGAACAGTTGTTGTAAGAAGTAAATGAGATAAAAAAGTACATCTTACAAACTACTTGGAGCCGGGCAGTGGTGGCACACGCCTTTAATCCCAGCCCTCGGGAGGCAGAGCCAGGCGGATCTCTGTGAGTTCGAGGCCAGCCTGGGCTACCAAGTGAGTTCCAGGAAAGGCACAAAGCTACACAGAGAAACCCTGTCTCGAAAAAACAAACAAACAAACAAACAAAAAACCCAAACAAACTACTTTGGAAAACAACAGTGCTTCCTTCAGCCAAGATACAACAGGAGATCAAAGAAAACATGGACAAACGCAGGCTGGAGATTCAATCTTGTTCTAAAAACAAATAAATTAATAAATATACTTGAAATGGACACAAGAGTAAAGTATATTTTATTAAATAAAAATTTAAAGTGGGTATAGAGGCATATACCTTTAATCGCAGCACTTGGGAGGCTGAGGTAGGCAGGTCTCTGTGAGTTTGAGACCAGCCTGGTCTACATAGAGAGTTTTAAGCAGCCAGGGGTACACAGAGAGAAAAACAAAAAAAAAAAAACAAGACAAAAAATTTAAGTATGATCATATATGTGAAGGTCTCTAAATATGACTCATAGCCGGGTGGTGGTGGACCATGCCTTTAAAATCTCAGCACTCAGATGCAGAGGCAGGCAGATCTCTCTGAGTTTGAGGCCAGTCTGGTCTACAGAACAAGTTCCAGGAAAGCCAGGGCTACACAGAGAAACCCTGTCTCAAACAACTAAACAAATATGACTCATAAAATATAACTACAAAGTACTTTATGGGTGTCCTCTTTGTCTTTTTTAAAAATTTATTTATTTATATAATGGTTTTGCCCGCATGCATGTCTATATACTCGGTGTGTGCCTGATGCTTTAAGGCCATTAGAGAGGCGTCAGATTCCACAAGACCACTCGGACTGAAGGGACAGATGGTTGTGATCCTCCATGTGGATGACGGGAATTAAACCTGGGTCTTCCGTAAGAACAGCCAGTGCACTTAACCACCGAGCTAACTTTCCAGCTCCCCTTTTTGTCCTAGAAATCTACTCCGTGGTGGCTAGAGATGTACCTCATAGAGTGCTTGTCTGGCACGCACAGAGCCCTGGATTCTGTTCCCAGCATCACATGCACTAGGTGTGGAGGCGAATGCCTGCTGCCAGCACTCAGGAGGTAGAAACTGGAAGATTAGAAGTTCAAAGCCACCTTCAGCTATGCAGTGAGTCTGAGACCAGCCTGGGCTACATAAGACACCATCAACAAAATAAAAACGAATGTGCCCAGGGCCGCTTTTTCTTTGCCCCTGGATTCTGTGGAAGGCAAGTCCCCTTAGGAGTCCTCGTTGCCCCCAGGACAGCAATGCCCTCAGCTTTTTCCTGCTGCTGTCTTTTTCTCCTGCCAGAGTTTGTGCTTGGTGTCAGTGTGTGTGTGTGTGTGTGTGTGTGTGTGTGTGTGTGTGTGTGTGTGGTGGATGTTATGCTTAATTGTTTGTTAAGATGAGGTCTTGTAGCTCATACTGCTCTCAAACTTACTGTCTTCCCATTTCCATCTCCCAGGTCTTGGGCTTATAGGTGTAAATCACCATAGCAGGCCAGGAAGCTTCTTGCTCAGATTCTAAGTTGACTCCACGCTGGTTCTCTCAGGTCAGTGGCCACTCTTGATCTTGGCATGCAGCCACATCCCAGTGTGGTTCTCTTCCTTGCTGGACCATGGAGGCCTGCCCGTCTTCTGATGTTGAGATTCTCTGGCATCCTGGATCCGCTACATCCTTAAAGCTCCCAAAAATACGGGTGGACCCTACCAAATAGTTCCACGTGGCCCCTTCCCCTGAGTTTGAGACAAAGGGCGAACGCTTCGCCAAGGTTGGGGATTCACAGCACCCACTTCCCAGATACACTCGGAGCCCAGCACACTGCAGATGCAGCACCCAAGGGCTGCTCTTACCTCCTGGGGCCCAGGTAGGGTCGATGCTGTTCCTGAGCCCCACTGCTCTGAAGAGTCTTTAGTCCCAAGGCCCCCACATGCCACATGATGAGGTCAAATGAGGATTCAGCTCTCCCTAAGACATGAATTTCTCCCCAAGACGTGGTCTTTCCCAAATGTCTCTGGGGAGAACAAAGGTCTCTGTGCTAACATGAGGATGGGTGAGAAAGAAGCCGGTGTCCCGCCCGCTAAGGACCGTGGCTGGTGTGGCAGTATCTCAAGCTCGCCCCCTTCTGCCACCCAGCTGGCAATTTTGTTCCTTTACAGGCTGATTAAACCTATTCAGAGAGGAATTATGATGTCCTTTTGTCTGAGTGACTAAAGGATACCAGAACTGCTTGATCTGGAGGCAAAATAAAAACAATGTTCTAGGCAGGCCAGATGGCTCAGTGGGTAAAGGTTCTTGCTGCCAAGCCTGATGACCTCAATTTCATCCCCAGGACCTACCCCATAGAAAGAGAGAATCAATTCCCACAAGTTATCCTCTGACCTCTATGGCATGTGCGTGCCCTCCCCCACCCACAAACTAACTAAATAAACGTAATAAAATTTAAAGCAAAGCAACCATGTTCCAGGAAGCAGAGGAGGAGTCCGGAGAAAGGGAAGCGTTATGGGTATGGTGGAGAAAGGAGGACCCTGAAGTCAAAGTCAGCCTTGGAAGAAACTCAGGGAATCTCTGTCCCCCACGGGGAGGGGTCTGGGTTCTGTTCTCAGTGTGGAGAGACAGATGGTCTTCGGGGAGAAGGCAATGCCCAGAGAACATCCACACCAGCAAACCTATCTCAGATGATTAAATGGCAGTGGATAAATTTAACTAAATGTGAGTAATGGGGACACAGAGGGGAAGTGAAGAGAAACGGAATATTTTAGCAACACAAGGAAATGAGAAGAAAATGACTTTGCAACAAAATGTCAAACTTCTGTGCCTGGAGGAGATGTAATCTGGTCATTGCAAGCTCAGGGGAGCGGGGGAGTCTGCGGTTATTTCAAGTAAATTTTAATTCACTTTAATAACATATGGCTAAATCCCTGAAGGACTGTGTCCTGGAACAGAACTGCGAGTTGGGGAGAGCCATCTTTGTTAGCAGGGGTGTTTCTTGTTTGTTTTTTTAAAGTTGTGCTTCCATCCATCCATCCATCCATCCATCCATCCATCCATCCACCCATCCACCCACCCA